CTTTCTGCTCCTCTCCCCATTTCACACACTGCTGCTGGATAACTGCAGCAGACTTGTGCTCTGGTCTGTCCCTGGATCCAACAATCAATAAGAAAACAACCAGAAAACAGAACAGAAGGGGGAGAGGGGAAGCCATAAAGAACCCCAGTATGCCTGAGAGAGCTGAACCTGCACAGAACAAAATGGTTTGCAGGAGCCTCACTTCCTTCAGGTTTCATTGAGCCCAAGCAGTACACGGTGCCACTGTGTGTCTCCTGTTTTCTGACTTGTTCTTCCCACACTCTGCACTTCTGGATACAAAATCAGGACTTCACACATTTTAAAAGAAGGTTTAACTTCAGGCATTGATGAAATAGAAATTTTGAATAAAAGAACACTGTGACTTAGTTCTTTATATAATCTTTTTCAAAAAACAGCAAATGGTCTTTCCTTCCTGGGGAATGGCAGATGAATCTCTCAGGACAGTTTAACAAGGCAGTCACTTAAAGAAATACACAAAGAAAACAACCTTTCTCAGCCTAAGATGACTCTTATCATAAACAACTAAAATTTAGAGGAGCCAAGATTTGTTTTCTCCCTTTTCCTGCACTAGAATGTCTGATGATTCAGGTTTCAAACAGACCTACCACAGACCAGCTTGAGGCAGCAGTCTGGTAAACTTTGGAATCCACTCCAGAAGTCCACCAGTCACTCATTCTTTCACCATTAACTTTTGCTTTGGCAGAAAAAATGAAAACTGACTCAGATTAAAAAAAAAAACAAAAACAAAAACAAACAACAACAAAAAAAATCCAAAAAACCAAACCAAACCAAAAACCCAAAACAACAAAACAAAACAAACCCTTTTGGAATACTTTTGCTTGGAAAGAGCCTTTCAATGTCAAGAGACATCTTCAACTAGACCAGGTTGCTCAAAGACCAGCCCAGGCTAACCTTGAATGTTCCCAGGGATGGGGCACCCACAATTTAACTGGGAAACCTGTTCCAGTTTTTTCACCATCCTCATTGTAAAAAATTTCTCCCTTATGTCTCCCCTAAATATACCCAGTTTCAATTCAAAGCCATTTCCCCTTGTCCTGTCACAAGGCCCTACTAAAAAGTTTGTCTTCATCTTCAAAACCCTCTTAAACATTGCAAGGTGGCAATAAGATCCCCCTGGGCCTTTTCTCCTCCAGACCAGAAGTGACCTTTCAGAATGTTATTTATCAGGTCTGCTTTTGGGCCAGCTCAGTCCCTGATTCACTCCTCACACAGGCTTTTGGTGTGAACAGGCATCCAGGGACAAGAAAGTAGTCTCCATTCTCACTCGCAGCCTCTATTTTCTTTATCACAAGTGTCAGTTTAAATGTACATGAAACTCCAGAGACCCTGACAACCGAGACAGTCACACCTGCCATCAATTATCAGGATGCTTTTGTTATCACTTGCTTTTAGCTCCCAGAGCTCGGCCTCCTCTCCAAACCAACAATCTTTCTCAGGCTGAGCCCTCTGCCACTACACACGTTTTCTGTTCCTTCCATGCTCGCCTCTCTCACATAAATGTCTGCACAATGCTGGATTTTGCTGTAATTAAATAGAACAGTCGTCCAAAGGAAAGCACAAAGACAACAACATGATCACAAGCAGTGGGGAATATTTGGAAAACAATACTTCATCTGGATGCAGTAAGCTTCATTTATTTTTCTTTTGCCTCTCTATTTTTGTTTTATACTGTTGACTCCAAGTTTTAATGACCAAAGATATTTTAGGCATTCCTGACCTAGAAATGTGCTAAGAATAAGAGAACTTTATTATAAAGAAAACATTGGCCATCTGAAGGGAAACTCAGAGTATACCCCACCTTAGTGAGCTATGCATGTTGCTCATGAACAGCAGATAAGCTTTTAGACCTACAAGGACTCAATGTCCAGAAGACAGAGAGAACATGGAAAAAGAATCAGATAGTCTGTAGAATTCAATGGACCTGATTAAGACAGCAGTTGGGGGATTCATGGCTAAAATGGATGCAAAATCCAGCTCAAGTAGAAAATACCCCCACAAAATATGTTTATTGCTGTGTTTTGAGGAACAGTGGAGACACAGCCTAAAGCTAGGAGAGAAAACCTCTTTATTTTGACAACAGCAATCTGAGCAAATGGCTTTGGTCCCTAACAAGAAGGGCAACTTTCCTTTATTCTCTCCCCTATAAAGTGTAACTTCCATTTGGGACCAGTTACCATGCCCCTTATAATTACCAGGTAGCAAAGAGATTGGGACTAAAATTCATCCTAAATTATGCTTAGTAGGTGTGAGAGTTCCACCCTGGCACAAGAAAAACAAGTGCAAAATATTTCTGTGATTGCAGCAGGCAGATTACCCAGAGGGAGCTTCATCAAGGTTTGGCCAAGGAATGCTGCTCTCAGCTCCCCAACTCAGAGATGCAGTGACACACAAGTACCCACAGGAGCAGGGTCATTTAATCAAAAGTGCACATGCCAAATAGTCAGGCTCTGTCCTTCACAAAAAAGGTCTGCAATTCTGTAAATATACCACAGGGATCCTATTTCACCTCCATAAAAATCAACTGTGAAGTGTTGATGAATAAAATCAATGAGCTAACTGCGAGGAACAGTACATTGTTTTAATTATTATTCCAATCAGGAATGCCTAGTGAACATCATGCCCAGTTTCACACTACAAACTTGAACAGGCATTCAGCCCTCTCTCCTTTCAACGGTGTTGGAAACCACCCTTTATTTAAAGGATTTTCTTTGGCTAGTTTTCTCCTCAGCTCAATCTCTTTCAGACTAGGAGCGGGGTCAAAGTTCCTGCAGCTCCTGATTATTCAATAACATGACTAATGCTCTCCTAAGGGGAACATGATTACAGGTAAATGATGTGTTATGATAAAGGCACCATCTCCCATTTGCACAGGCCTGTCCTCCCACCCACCTCTATGTAAACAGAACAAACCTTTAAGGATGCACTGCCTGACCTCATCTCCTGGAGAAATACTGCCTGGAATCACACTGTAATGAAACACAGGATAGCACAGAATGGCCCCATTTAATCTTTAACAATTGATGTGATATTTTAACAGGCTTCTACCCAGAAAACCTCTCCCAGGCGCCCTCAGTGCAACCAGCATTAACTGCAGCATGCTGTTCTCAGCCCCTAAAACTGGCTGTATAAATTGTGACTGCCTGGGGCTACTTTTGTTTTCTTATGGAGCCAAGTTCTCCTCATATTCACTTGATGCAAAAAGTCAGGAGTTTTGAAATCTGCTGTTCCTTTTTTTTCCACAAAGTTTTGAGGTCTTTGACTTCCAGGATGCTGTGATGTGCCTATGGCATATCCTTCTTCACGCTATATTGAAATGGTTAAAAAGAGGAGCGACAGGAAAATGAGAAGCAACATCCCCAATTTCCTTCACTAACTCCAAAGGGGCTCTTCCCTGTAATATTTACTCTTAATTTTAAAAGCATGAAATGTATCAGACACTCTAGGTAAACTCATTCATCTCCTGTTCCTTTGTCACTTTTAACAAATGAACCAACAGTTGTACCATAAATGGGAATTCATTCTAAGTCTCTTACTAGTAAGATGTCTACTGTTGCACCTGCATAAGAAGTCAGCCCCATCTGTATTTTCAGACCATTGCTCTACAAAGATATTTACAGAAGTTTCTACTTTCCAAGAAAGCTATTTCTGGCTTATTTTTTTCTTTTTCAATTATTTTAAACTGTACTTGTGCCCACAGAAGAATTATTTTTATCAGTTACAAATAAACAAACCAACTGTGACAGAACACCAGGTCACAGTGCAGCAGATTCCCAAATGCTTGTGGTACAGACTACATGGATAAAGCAGCAATCCAGGAGTGAAAAACAAGGAAAACAAGTCTGGTTTAATCACTAATGCCAAGGTAGGATAGGTAGAGCACTGCCTACAACCTTTGTACCATTACTTCTAATTCTACAATTCTAGATAAACACCACAACCACATCCTTTGGCATCAATGACTTTTTCTGCAATGAAATTTTCCTGCTAAAGATCCCTTTAGAGCAGATCCATCAGCAATTGGAATCCTGATCTGAGATTTCTCACTATTTCATTTCAGACGACATCGGAGAACTCTCATATGAATTTAGGTGTGGTTTTAGAAGAACAATCAAAAGCAAATGAACCATCTCATCATTATCACTTCAGAAATGTCATGCATGAAGTCTGTGCCCTGCTCTGCACCTGTGCAGTACAACAGGAATCAAAGAGCTCATCTAAACGCAGCTTGAGGTCTCAGTCAGGATTAGCCAGAAGCTAACATTTGCCACAACAACTTCTTGAGCCTGCTCAAGGCCTGGATTGCTAAAGCAATTGTAATTTTGTGCCAGCTTGGTGCTTCTGGAGCAAAAGTAGTTTTCAGACAGGTAAAAGCCCTGTATGCCAGTGGGATGGATAAAACTTTACTCAGACCAGGAAGGGAACATGAATTGGTATGCAAGACCCATCCCTGAGTACTAGAAGAAAGTAAAACCTTGTTCTCCCCAAACATAAGGTGAGAAGAACCTGCGGGAACACAGAGACTCCAGAACTTAAATTGACTTTGCAGCTGTTTAGGAACAGTTATCACTGGAGTTTATTGGGCCTGAGGGGGAGCACACAAAAGAACAATTTCTGTTCATCCAAACTTTCCAGAATGCTAGACTCCAGAAAGAGAAGGCCTCTGAGAACTGTGAATACCTCACCTGCCTGTGTCTGATCAACCTCACACGTACACACTTCCTTAATGCCAGGACATCTGGGGTCAGGAGAGCACAGCATCCTCTGAATTTGCAGTTATGATCTAAATTTCTAATACCTTCTCTCCTCTCATGACCCTGACCGCTGCTTTTTCAGAACACATTTTTCATTCTACTGACATGGACAGTGCAGCATTGCAATGGTAAACCGTGTTTCAAACTGGAAGTAGATCATCTAGTAAAAAAGAGAATTAAAATACTGAAAGAACAGAAAAGGCATACCTTTTGAAAATCACAGATTGTTCTGTAGAAATTCACATTGTAGAAAATGTCTTCCTTTCCCTTAAAAAAAAAAAAAGAAAAAGAAAAGCCTTAATTGTGCATATTCATATTTAATTACCTAATAAAATCACAGTAAACCACTTCAAGACCTTTTTCCTCCAGAAATAATTTCTCCTTATGGATCAGAATATTTACACTGTAGCAAACAAACACTGAGTGCTCAGTGAGTTTTCGTTTGAAGTTCATTTTATTTTGAAATTCCTGTTATTTAAGCAGAAGCATCATAGCTGCAGGTGACAGAACACATGGCACCCATTCTTCCAAGCACTTAAAACTAGAAGGCATCACAATGGAGACTCAGGATGGAGCAGTGTGTCAGGGGCAGGGAAAATAAAGTATTTTATTTTGAGATGTACCATCAGGTCTCTTCATCATCCAGCTCTGGGTGAAAAGTAAATTATGCCATTGTTATTAGTGCTAGAATGAACTTCCTCCACTGCTTTTGCCAACACTTTGGAGGGATGAAAGCATCCACTTCTTCTGTCCCTCCCCATCTCTGGAGGGGAAGGGGCAGCGCAGGGGCACAAACACTCCTGCACCTCTGAGCAGTACAAGTGGGCAGGGCTGCTTTGGTGGTGCTCCCTTCCACCCCTCTTTTCTTCAAATGCACAAACCCACTGACTTCCATCTGTAGGACCTAAGTGTGAGACCTCAAACTGGACATGAGCACAGCAGCCCTTCAGCAAGCAAAGCAGCAGGTTTGCACAAACGGGAAAATGACCAAAGAGTGCTCCAAAATGAAACCAAATCCAAATTCACTTTAGAAATCCTTGGTTTATAGGAGACAGTATTTTATTAAAAGAAAACAAGTGTCTTCAGCATTATTGAAAATAATAGGAAATTGACTGCTGCTTTTTCAAATGAATCAAGAGCTCCTGCACATTAGATCAGAAGCTGTATTTTTCTCTCTTCCATCAAGCTTCATCTTTTTTCCTTTATAGCAAAAATAAATTGAAGCCTAAAGTTGAGAACATCTCAATATCCACTAGGTGCTTACAGAATTAAATCTGACCTCATACTCTTCAGTTTTATGAGGTTTAAGTTTTATGAGAAGAAGAAAAAAAATCTCAGAATTAGAAACAGATTGCAGAAAACAAGTGTCTCAGCCAAGGGAAGCTAGAGCATGTTGTGGGTCTAGCATTTGCTCTGAGAACTCATGGTACATAAAACACCCCAAGTATGAGACCAGAGGGACTGAGAACCACAGCAATCACAATTACAGCAATGAGGGCAGTTAAAGAAAATAGTTTGCTCCTCTGTTGAATCCTCCCAAAGTTGCCAAAAACCTCCATTAAAACAGAAGATGCTTCAAATCATAAATAGCAATGAGAGGATGATGGCTACGTGCTTTGTTCTCATTAAATATTGACAGCATGCTCTTCTAGTAGGAGACTACACAGTGATTGCAATTATTTTTTGTAATTATCCCTTTAATGCCTCAAACTTTCATTTTGCTGGTGCACTTTCAGACTGCCCTCAGCAGCTCATAATTACATGACAAGATACCACTGGGTCTCCAGGACTCGGCAGCTCCACACAAAAGCATCCTTACACTTACTTCTGGGTCAGCTAGAGCCAGCTTTCTGCTAAAATAAACCCCCTGTCCAAAACGTGCCTGTGCTGGGGAAACAAAGACATGACAAGATTATTTCCAAGCACACAACCTGCTCCGTTAGCCTGCAGCCAGAGATCCACCTCTGCCCTCTCTGCTCTCCTGCAGACTGCAGTCAGATTTCAGCAGGGTTACATCAGCGTGGGACCCAGCCCAGCTCCTGGAAGCAGGAGCATCCCACCAGCCCTAATGCACATTCCAGAAACACAACCTGCCTCCCCACTGCTTTTAATCATCCACAGCTTTCTGGGCAGAACTGCCACTGGGCCCTGAAATTTCTCATGTTCCATGTAAACACACAAGTACAATCTCATAAATTTAATGAAGAAAATCAGTTTCTTTTTAGCTATGCAAATACCAAAAATCTCTCTCTCTCTGTCTTTCCACCAGTTAAGTATTTCTTCAGAAGCTTGTTTGTGTCCAAAATCTCCAGTGGCCCTTTCAGCAAGACTGTAAATTCTTTGAGGGAAATACTCAGAGCCAGAGTGAAGTCTCACTTCCAGAAGCAGTGAGCAGCTTGTAATTCACAGTAACAGGACACCCGATGGATAATGGAGAGTGGCTGCAGCCTCAGCTCTGCCCTTCATCCCAGAGCTGGGTGTCAAGGCTAGAATACAAAAACCCCACCATTTCCATTTTCTCATGTCCTAAAGAAATTTATGTTTTTAACGTGAATAAGCTGGTCTTAAGTACCTTGATGCCTGCTTTTTTTTGTAAAGGATCTTTAATTTGATGTTCCTCACTTCCTGAACACCTAACTAGATACCACGGGATTTCAGCTGCACCTGAGCACCAGGGCAGGTGTAAAGGCATCAAATTCTGATGTGGCCAGTGTTCATTTTGGCCACAACACACATTCCTTCACTGCTGTTTCAGTAAGGCACAACGTGTTTCTTCACTGGCACCTGGCCTTTCCTGTCACCTTAAATACACCCCAGGGGTTTCCTTACCCCCCTTATAAGCTCCAAGGACAAGACTTACTTTTGCCAAAGACCCAGCTGAATCATAACGACCCTTCAAAAGGATGGGCAACCTTCTCAAGACTCTGGGCTTGTCAACAGATTTTTTTTCTTTTGTTTTTAGTTTCAAGCAGAAAACAAGTTTTCATCCAGAGGCATCCATCATTCAAGGTTCTTTTTCATCTGTCACTCTGAAGTGCTCGGAGAAAATGACCTGACAAGTACACACTTCTGCAAGACTTTCCCACTGATGGACACTTGGTTACAGATAATCACCTCCCTCAGTTACCCAGAGTATAACTTTAGAATTCCAATAAGGACCTTTTGCCTCATTCTAATTAAAAGCAAAGTACAAGCACCCAATTTAGAAAAGACCATTAGAGACTTAATTTAAACATGACAATTTTAGTCTGTCAATATACTGAAATGATCATTACCTTCCAAACCTTCTCTCATTTTGTGCCGAAAAGCAGCTTCGACCACAGCTGATTAGTTAATTTTAGACACACAACTGTTAACATTTTTCAGACATGAATTGCCTGTATATCCCTAATCTAGATGTGTAGCTTCTAAAAAGGTCCTTTCTTTCTCTGTATTTTTCCCAGGATCTAGGAGTAAGGAAAAAACACCAAAGCAAGGCAAAAGAAGAGGCAAGCACACGAGGCAGGAGGCTAAGGTGAAGCACTCCCTGTCCCTCTGGCACTCGGTGGGGATGCGGTGTCAGCACCCTGCTCCCAGCAGCTCTGCAGGGCCTGGCGGCACAGCTCGCTCCTGGGAGGCTGCTGAGAAGCCCAGCTCCTTCCTGGCGTGGAGCCTTGCCAGGGACATCAGGCTGTTGCTGCTGACATGCTCCACACATAATTCGGTGGCTTCCTGCTCGAGGCATTACATAATTTGAGCCTCTGGCATATCTTGCTGGAACATTTCGTGTGCTCGCCCACAGGAGCAGCAGCATCTCCAGCTACCAGAGGCTCTGCACCTTTTGTGCACTGATTCTGGCCTGGGTGGCCCTGGCTGCAGGCACAGATGGCTGCAGATCCCAGTGAATACAAACTCGACAGTATGACTCCCAGAACAGACAAAAGAAGCAGGTAACCACACAGTTAAACACAATTAATGGCCACAGGAATAGCACGATGGAAATCACTTTAGAAACCACAGAATTCTGTCAAGGGCTGTTGCATTCAGCTTCACTGAGGCAGAAACTTATTAACCAAAGGGAGCACGCAGCCTCCTGCCAGTACCACACACACGCCACCCCACAAGCCCTAAATCTGCCTCCAGCCACGAAATCCTGAGTCGAGAGAGCTCTTGACTCGGGGTCAATGTGCATATAACTAAATTGAAGGGTACAATCACTCCTTGATGTTTGCTGAGCAAGACTCAGGGCCCTGCCCTCCCAAAACAGGCAGACTGTTTTCACAGGGATGTCAAGTGCTTGGAGCCCAGAGATTCCATTTCATGAAAAGCATATCAATTGATGATAAAGTACACGCTCCAAATGATGTGTAGATAATAGAATCTTGTAGACCTTTTTCTACAGAGAATGAGTTATATTTATATGATAAACCCCACGTAATTTAAGCCAAGCAATAAACAACAGCAGCATTTGTGCAATATAGCACAGTTATTACAAACTCCTATCAGTATGCAAATGTAATAGCACCAAGATACACAATCTGCAATTTGACTCAGAATTTCAGTGTGTCTTGGATGTAATTATATACTGTCCTACAGCTCCTGCAGGGAATTTTACCTATAGCTTAGGAAAGTTATTATTTATTCTTTGGTCTTTTTTCTTTTTTCTGGGGGAATTCTCAATTTTTAGTCACCTCTAGTAATTCTCTGGAACCAAAATCATCATGCTGCAGTTTAAAAGGTTTTCAATCTATGAAATTACTCAGTGCTGATGAAAGCATTAACAATCCAAGACTTCATTTACAGCATTACAAAGAATCCAGTCAATTATGGGTAAATGCTTTTACTCGGCTTGGGCCAGTGAAATTAATTATTATCATAAAAACCTGCACTCCAACCAAGAGTAAAGTTTAAGAGTGTCTCACCATATTGAAAGAGAACAGAAAGGAAGGAACAGGCCTGGACTCCAGCATGGAAGTGGGCAGCTAATGCAGGCCCTGGGGAACAGGCAGCAGGTGACGAGATGGGAAGAGGATGGATACTCCTTCCAGGCCAGCAAGCCAGCACTTTGTATCCCTAAGATAAAATCTGATGCCTCCAGGGAAAGCTCAGCATCATCACATAAATCCCAGTGCAGCCTAATAGTTCTCTTTGGGATGTACTCCGTGTTCCAGAAACTGGGAGGCTGCTCCTTGCCAACCTTCTCTCAAATGTAGGCCAGCAGCTCCGACGTGGCGTGTTGTGGTCTACGCTTCTCATCCCAATCCTCCACCACAGCAACAGGAAGGGAT